CGTGCCGCCCGGACGGGGACACGCGATCGACTGGTGGTGTTTCCACTCCCAGAGGGTCACTGATCCGTCTTGAGATCCCGACAGATCTGCAGTTTATGTATTCAGTATTGAATTCAATTTGTTTAAATCCTAAGAGAGTGACTCACATAAGGGTAACGTTGGATGAGAACAGAGTCGGCGAACGCCTTCAGTCTTATGGCGTTTGAGCTGAAAATCAATGTTTGAATTAAATGACAGACACAACAGAATTGATTAAATGATAAATGAATTGAAATAATATGCAAACAAACGAAACACAGGATTGAAACGAAAATAATACCAGAAAACGCCTTCAAACTAATGACTATAACAAACTCACCGGTTGAAAGATATATCGACTCCTTTCAAGAATATACTGACAGAATTGAGGACTAGTATTGCCCGGAAAGTGGTGTTTAGCCTTAAGTTTGTTAGTTAAGCAATGAAAAGATTATGATTTTGATGAGAGAATACACACATTGATTGAGACAAACAATGATATGAATAATATGCTATACAGTATGTGCTAATTAACAAATAATTCAAAATAATTCAAACCATAATTGGATTCTTTGCAGCATTGGAAGCATTAGAGGCTCCGGGAGGGTTAGCAGTGCTTAAGACAGACGAATGAATGGCGAGTCCTCCTGGAGATGACTGAAGCCGATCGGCCGGGTGTTGGACTAACAGGTAGTCTATTGAAGGCAAAGATTCTGAAGCTCTAATGGGAGACAATGTAATCTAATAAACGGATCGTATTTAACAACTGATTGGAGAAATACTTCTGAATATTGAGAATATCATATTCGGCCTCATCTTCGAGGAAAGGCGTCGATTCCAAGAGCATAGATATGTCCATCTCTTGGATCTCCTTAGGAGTGGAAATAGCAATAAATCCAGGATTTGTTCGGTTAATACAGAAGGCGCTGATGTTTTCATGATCTTTGTGTACAATCCTCGTGGGCTCCGGATTATTGGTGTCCGACATTTCATTGACGCTCTCCTGGTCTGAGATAACGGTTCGCACGGACTTTGGTTTTCCAAATATAAACCGAATGAAGAGGTCCTGAACCCTCTCCTGACGGATCAAATAATTCCAAAGTCTTTTTGAAGCTTTAGTTATAGAGTTGTGGTCACGAAATGGAGTGTTGTTTAGCTCAAGAAGTGCTTTGTATTTATGAATAGCCGGTCCATTCAATCGATTGGTCTCCACATAAGTATTGGGCAGAAAATGTATGGGCGGACCATTGAATTCATTCATATAGTCATTCATATAAGTCTCCCAACCGTTCAGTGTTTTCAGCACCGAATGAATCAAAGGACTAGTGATCGGGAGGTCAGAGATCTCAATGCCGGCGACGGACAGGAAATGAAGTAATTGTTGTTTTGCGAGTTTAAGAACTGAGAATCGTATTAAACCCCAGGCGTACACCTCCTGCTCCAACTTCTTCTCATCGACGCCAGTGCCCGACGGATGTGCGCCCATAGTGTCGGCGAACACACTGTCAGTTGCGCCCAAATCATCAAAATCTGTGGTTTCGTTCTCTTCATCTTCGGTTTGAACGGATTCACTGGAATCGTAGTCGAGTAGAATGAATTCGTCGGGAAGTATAGGTTTTGTCATTAGTAACGAAATCATAGACGTCTGCGGAGGAATGAATTGTTCCCTATATGTGGGCCTATCCTCCTTCATATTGGGCGGAGGAATGGGTTTATCGGTTTGACTCAATTGCTGCAATATCTTCATATGGAGTTTCATTCTCTGCTTCGACAGCGTGTTAATGAAGTCAATCGAAGAGCTCTCGGATTCCTCACTGTTTTGTTGTTGGGGTTGAGGCTGTGGTTGAGCCGCCTGTCCGGTCGCCACGTGTATTAGCTTTTTGGCGCCGCCGCCAAACAGTTGAGCCCAAGTGCTCTCTTTGAAGTCCATACCAATCAATCGGTACAACATATAGGAATCACAAGCGGCCGAAGAATATATGAATTGACTTAAGAAGACGGCCACAAATGACTCGCAGAGCAATGAATGCAATTTTGGTGAGTCTTCGTCTTTGTCGCGCGCCAACAGAGCTCGCAATGATTGAACGCCCGGCCATTTATTAGGTGCTGTTGTTGGAGTCAACGTTTCATTAGTTTCAGACGTTGTCGAAATTGTCGATATATTTCGGCGAACTGTTTGATGTCCAGCCAATAGGTGTGTGTTTTGACAGACAACTGACGAGTTTAAGTCATCTCTGGTATTGACACCCGGCTTAGAAGTGATGGCATCTGAATCACACAATGACTGGTATATACACGAAGATAAAGATATTCCCAAATCTCTTAACACATAAATGAGTGAATAATTTGGAGTAACAGTTAGTGGAGGAGAAGTCATATCTAAGACAGTGTTTAGTATGTCGTGAGTCACTGACTGCAGATGTCTGATGGGATCGGCGACCACTGTCTTCTGACAGGCGACGCTCGCAGCCAATAGCGGCAAAGTTGTAGGGAATGGAAGCGGCGATAGGAGTTGCTGTTGAGACCTCTCCTGTTGAAGCTCTTGAAGAAGAAGAATGAGTTCCATTCGAACAGAGGACAGACCCCCTCCATGAGCGCCGTGAAGACTGCAATAACTCAATAGAGTCCTCATAAGTGCCTCATTCGAAGTGAGCCATAACTTGCGCCGCGAAGAGCGGTCCAGTTTGGCCTCAAAATCCATTTTATCGGCCAATAGTATTTCATGTAATGAAGGCTTTGGCTCAGTCACACCACTGGCCTCGGAGTGTGAGCCCCGGGGTGTCCATCGATCTGAAGGTGAGATTTCACTAGAATTTCCCAAAACCATTGACGAAGGATTTGGTCGCTCTTCAGCCGTGTGTCGCATTGAAAAGGTTCGGTAATTACAGATAGACTTCAAGGCCTGAACACTCTTTTCGAGCCAAACATAGAGTTGGTATCGGAGTTGTCCGCCGTCTACTTCGAAACCTGTGGCCAAAGTACTCAACTCCTCCATCAGGATCTTAAGACACGCGATAAACTTCAACTGCTGAGCCATTACATCGAGTTTTACTTTGCTATCGCTTTCATCTTTTTTCTGTGTCTCATTTGTCGCATCAGTTTTCATCTCAAGACCACCGGTGCTCTCCTCGTCATCAGAACAGGGCTCCACTGAGAACTGGAAGTCTGACGTATCTACCGGTGCTAATGTGGAGGGAGCGCCCCAATCGAATGCATTATCATTGATATCTCCGTTTTGAAGAGAACCGGTAGCTATTGGCGCCGATTCTTCCAACAACTTATCGTTGCCGTCAAAAGAAAATGAAGAGCTCTCTAAGCGATCGTTTGTCTCTATTCTGTTGGGCAGTCGTGAAAGAACTTCCAGCGCTAATGATGGACACCCGGCGCGAAAGTGTGAGTGCGCTGTCATGAAGAATAGTCTTCTTTCAAATGGTGTGATGGCATCGCTTCCATACGAGGATTCGCTGATAAAACCTCTGGAAATGTTAGCGTAATGTTGTTTCTTATCCTTCATGTTTTGCGCGAACTGTCGCTTCACGATCAGCGGTTGAGTCCGCAAATAGAGGTAGAAATTGAAAACACTGGGACTCACGCCAACCCCTTCACAGTCCACGTCATTGTTTATGTATTTCGGATGAGAAGTTCCGACGTCTCTCTCCAATAGTGTGGTCAGCGCTGTGTTGTAGTCCTGAAGTATCCAATAACCCATACTTCGTAGGAAAGGGTCTGGATGTGCATGACTTGGCTTATAATCAGAACCGTCTTTTTTACGGCCCAACACTTCTTGGAATAAAAGTCGTTTCAAGTTTTCGGGAATGGTTTCGATGTCCCCCTCGTAGAGACGGATGACAACTATTGCTAACTGCAAGTCATCGAGTTTAGAGAGACAGACCTCAACGGCGTCCCAAACAGCTCCGGCCAAGAGGAAGAAAGCGACCGCGTGTTCAAAGCGCTGTTTACCCATCAGTGCGAATGCATTCTTAAGCGCCGCTTTCCTCCACTTTTCCTCCGAGAACTTGTGTTGAAAGAAATCAGTCATTTTCGTGTCACCAACTGATCTGAAGAGTAGGTAAACTATTTGCTGCTTTTTCATCGCTAAGTAAAAGAGCGCCGCATCTAATGGGTTGTTGTTCTTAAGGTACGCCGCTTTTGCCAACCGTTCAATTAATTTCCGAAGCAATGCGTTGTTTCTGATCCAATAGCCGACCCCAATCTCTCTGAGTTCACTCCAATTAGCGTTGTCTTTAGATATGGAGGGAACCAATTGAACCAATTCTTCCTGTGTTTCCGAATGAAAGGCCCAAACAATGCTATGAGTGCCTAACCCTTCCTTTTGAAGTATTCGTCTCTGAACCAGAGGAAGGCACCGAAGAAGGTATACGTGTTGTCTCATTGTTAGCAAATATCTTAGTCCACAGTTGTCCAGGGAATCGGCAGAAACTATAGAATTGTCGACAGGTATGGCTTCAGTGCCCTCTTCTCTCCCATTCATATCCAAAACAGCGCTCTTATTAGCGTTTGGGTTGAAGGAAGCGACTGAATCGGCCAAAGCAAGCAAATGCATTTGATCCAGACTTGAGAGGCCCGGTAGGTGAGAGTGAGTCAACAGTTTTGTGAGAATGCGGGCCTGTCTTAGTCCGAAGTTTGTCGTGTCTTTATCTTTTCGAATCGGTTTCTTTGGTTTGGTATTGAAATTGAAAGCACTTCTGCCGAGAATCTCATCTAAAGTGTCCTCGACTTGTGATTTAAAGTTGGAATCAAACAGATTGTCGTAATCCAAGTCATTATCGTCGGGTTTATTATTAGATTGGAATTCATTCTTATCGTCCGCTTCGATGAGCGCATAGAGAGGAAGGGGTCGTATTGAAGTGATTTCCGTGTAATCCAACTGCACTTCTTCTGCTATTATGGGAAAGTTTTCCGAGTCGTGCGGACTGTTTAGTTGGTGCGGAGAAGTGGGCGCCGCAACCGATAACGTGCGGGATCTGAGCCAAGATCGCGGACTCTTTTCCGATTCACTGCCCATACTTTTAGCAAGACTTGGCTGATATGGTAATGCGTTTTGTTGCGAATTAACAGAAGCCAAACACGAGACCAGATGCCCGAGAATGGCCCGAACCCTATGGACTTTGCCGAACGCCAACAACTCCATGAGCTGTTTGGGGTGGTATTGCGGCAAAACAGGACACGCGAGTCGACTCGCTTCGAATATACCGAAGTCCGGCAAATGAGAAAAGTTAGGAATTTGTTGTTCACTCTGTTGGCCATCAGTGGGTTGTGTGCTCTGAGTGCCCGATGCCTTCTTGTGCTCATTATTCAGACCAGCGGTTAGTTTATTAACAGACGGAGAGCGCGGAACTGTACTCGGATGGGATGGGAGTCGCAATTGTGAGGATTCCTGTGCGTGAGTCAGGAGCTCTTTTTCGGTCAAAATTCGTGATTCAGTTATTTCGACTGAAGACTCGATCGCATTAGCATTTGTATTGCCCTTCCATTGCGTGTAAATTAACATTTCGTTATCCATACCGACAACAAGAATGCCGTCTCTAACCCACGCCAACTGCATAGGAAGTGGTGGCAGACCATCAGCAGTGGCCAAATCGGTTGAGCGCAATGTCATCCATCGGATCTCATCGGCTCTGGATATGGGAGCCATAGAAGAGGCCTGTTTTAGTAGCATTCGATTCGATGAAGTGTTTATCGACTTTTCAGATGCTTTTAGGGTCTGGAGATTGGCCTGTGCTATGTCTGTGGAGACGGGTGTGAAGAGTGTGATCTTAGAGCCGGCAGAGACTGTCAGCACATGAGACCCGTCTTCAGTGGAGACCCAATCGAGTTGTACTAAAGATTTCTGCGTTAATGTGAACTGATTTCCCTTCTCAGAGATAATCCTCTTAAGCGATTGCAATGTTGTATAACTGGGAACTGATAACAATCGTTGGATATTATTAGTGCCCCTGTGCTCAGTCGTGTGCTCATCACCACCACTGGTCAGATGATTCACTAACGTATTGGACGTCCATTTGTTTCTTAAGGTGGTGTCGACCAGAGGCGCCAAATCAATACTTAAATTCAAGTCTGTTTGAGGCAATGGAATGTTCTTTATCTGAATGGTGTCCTCCAAAACCCATTCGGAACCGCCGCTCGACTCGCATTCAATTATAGCGAGCGTTACGTTTATGAACCTCTTGTTGGGATTCTTGGCCGAGGGTCTGGAGAATGACTGACCCTGTTTGTAGGCACAGGCAACTCGACCGCTATAGGAACACGAGACATACAGTGGTAGACCCGGCACTTCGAAAGCACTCGACTCCTCTATTTTGGTCAACATTTCCCATTCCATCCAATTATAAACACTTTTGTCATTTACATCACTTGTGCCGTCATTTTGTTCGCTACATCTCCAGAAGCGAATCTTACCGTCACTACAGGCCGTGACTATCAGATACGGAGCAAAACACGCCGGATATATGTTAGACGAACTCAGGTGTCCGGCCGCAGGGGTCGCGTGAATCACTTCGACATCGGGAGGCAATGGGAGGACTTGAGTGCAGACCTTTTCGGTGGTTATTCTTAGCGGAGAAACAACACTGGAATGGCTGTGGCTTTGATTCTCATTACACTTTTCACCGATATTTTCGGGCTTTTCATTCAAATCAACTGAATTGCTTCTGGAGGAAGCGTTTGAGTGGTCGCTGTTTTCTTGTATTATATTACTGTCCGGAACGTAAGAATATTTATTTGATTCAGTTTGGGGTTGGGATGCAATCAACAGCCGCCACATGTGAAGCACCGACTGTTGGCTTTCGTTCTTTTCGATTACAACCAAATAAAAGGGTTCTTCGAAGACAGAGCTATGTCTGAGATCAACAACAGCTCCTAAACTGTTGTCCGCCAAACCCTTCTGGCTCTTCTGTCTTTCACTCCAACACTGATAGGCATCGGAACTGTCGCCTCGAATAAGCTGTTCCTGAAAAACATGCAATAATTGTGTGTTTTTCCAGTCGTGAACCGCATCTGAAATGGCGTTCAGTTCGAGAACACATCCGGGTCTGGCAGTTGACTGAAGGCTCACAATCTTAAAGGCGTCTCTCACCACATGTCTGTACTGACCCGCTTCTGACGACGTGCTGTCATCACTCACTGATGGACTCACGTCTCCCTTTCGGGACTTGCGTTCAGCCGACGAAACCTCAGCCAATAGGGTTCGCGCGTCGATAACGGCCTGATATATACGGAGTTGTTTGCCATCAGAGGCCACGAAGCAAGCACTGGGAGAGTTGGATATGGAGCCAATAGTAGTGCTGGGAAGTAGTGTCGGAATCCAAGCGACGTTAGCAAAGGCCGACAATTGAAGGGAATTAATTCGCGCCAATTCTGTCACTCCGCCTGACTTGGAGAGGGGCCCCACGGGATCCACTCTCCATAGGATAAGTTCAGAGCAAAAGCCTGTGTTTTGAAGTCCGACTATTTTTTCAGAAGAGGGCGAAGCGACTGGACTCGCACTGAGTGAGGAATTACTTGTCTCATCATTTATAGGCAAAATTCCAGGCAAATTGTGGTGAGAAGTGGTCAACAGGAGTGGTAAGACTGGATGACAAGTCACGTCATTTACGCGGAAACGATGTCCACAGACTCGTGAACTGTGACTAATGCTGAGCACTTGTGTAAAATGAGATCCCTCTCCAAAGCCCACATTCCATAAATTCATTGATCCATTGATATGTTTAGTTAGCATACAGACAACCGGCGTCTGAACAGTAGGTGCAGTCGTATCGGTGTTTATTGGCGTCGCTTTGTTGGTGTCTTTGGACTGAATGTCTAATGTAAGTGACGAAGAATTGGGCAAATGTACGGATTTTAAGTCCAAATAAAAGTTTGGAGAATACAGAGCGATGTTATGAGACATTGTGGCCGCGTCTCCGAGGGGTATGGCGTTCGGGATTCGCGAAGAGAAGTTGATTTGCGGCTGACGGAAGGAACTCGGACTCGACTCATCCAACCACTCGATTAGCCTGAATGCCATTCAATTAAATATTTAATTATCTCGTTATCTCTGTACGAATTGTCAACACTTACCAAACGAGAAGACTTCCATCCAATGGATGAATACTAAAGAGGAGGTCAGAGTTCGAGTGCCACTCTCTTATCAATGCTTCCAGTTTGCGATCTAACAGATCTCCTAACTGTGACTGATGTGTGATATTCGTTGCGTTCATTTCTGTGGCCAAAGAGGTGGAGGAAGAAGTCGTATGAAAGCTCTGTCGACTGCCGGCCGGATGGCTGTCCTCGTGTTCAACTTCATCGTGAGATAAGGCTTTGTTGATGTGTTTCCCACTCTTTTTAACGGTGGGAGGAATGTGTTTCTTAATCTTGGACTTGGATTCAGCGGTGATAACGCTGGCGCCGTCTGTTTCATCAGTGTCTCCGCCATCAGCCTCTCCCGTATCGCTTCCCACATCACTGTAGGCTAAAGTGGATTCGTTTTGAATTATTTTTAAACTGATGTCTTGTAATATCTTTTCTGCTGATTGCGTGAAAAACATCTCTTTATTGTTGAGCCAATGCATCACAAAACTTGGTTTTGTTGAACTGTCGGCGCCATTAATGTTGGTCGACATACTCGGCACTAATGGGATGTCAGTCTCAGCATTAATGCTGGCCGTTAAATGAAAGTGCAATCCCGGAGCCATCGCATTACCGTAAATACCAAAGCTGTGAAAGTCATGAACACTGAAAGTACTCGGAAGAGTAGGAATAGCGCTGCCATTCAAATGGCTCTCATCGATGGTCACCTGCTGGCGCTTTTTGAATTGACTCAAAGACTTCATTTGTTTGAGTCTTTGCATAATCTTCTGCCGATGTCT